CACACACACACACCTGTACCCCTCTTTCACATGGGGGTATAACCAACCCATTCACACTCCCTGTCTGGCACACTCTGCCCTCCATGCTTGGCTGGCCCCTCAGACAGACCTTCCTCACCTAGGACCTGGCACCACATCTTCCCAAGGCAACAGGAGTGGAAATGTGGGGGGCACATCCTCCCCCTCCCAATCTCTGCCAGGGCTCACACCAGTGTGGTCAGCAGCAGCCTTTTGGCGCTCGCAGGAGGCAAATTGCTTCCAGTTGCTGTGTAGGAAGGGAGAGGGGGAAGGGATGACCTAGCCCACGTCTTTTCATATCTCTACCCCCACCCCACCCACCTCCGTCAGACACAGGCTGGGAGCAGCTTGTTCTTTCCTGCTCACGCAGTGTCAAAAGGCAGCCGACACCTCCAGGTTGCTGCTGGCCACTGACATAACCCAGCTGCCTCCTGTTGCCCTACTGCTCCAGTATGGGGAGGACGGTGTTGTGCCCTAAGGCTACCTTGTGCACCAGGGTCTATGGAAACTGCCCAGAGAGGTGGCTCAGCAGGGGAAGGTGTCATGGGGACAGAGCAGCCTCTGGGGCCATTGTGGAGCCTGCAGGTTCAGGGTGTGAAGAGGCTGGAAATCACATGTCCCCACCACCATGCCAGAGCTTAACTGAGGGGCGGAGAGCCTATGGGGCTTTGGAGCAGGCACATATCAGCACCTCCCGGCAGTGCACCAAACCAGAGGCTTTTGGGCTTTCCTGGGGTGCCTGCCCAGCCCGAGAGCAGCTGCTGGTGCCCTGGGAGCTCTGACTAGGGGCTGGTTCTCCACCCAGTGCCAGGAGGGGGACCAGTCTGCCAGCAGGGATATGGAAGCACAGTGAGGTGAAGGGGCAAAGCAAGGAAAGCACAGTGAGGGGGAGCATACAAAGGTTGGACACCAGAGGCTGCTGCCTGGTACCTTCCCACCGTTGCCAGCCACCCACCGCGGCTTGCAACGCATGGCCAATGCTGACCAGAAACAAGATGGGGGCAGGGAACACAGGGAGGGCTGTGCTGATAAAACAGCAGGGGAGCATGCAGTATTCTCACCCCACCAGGTGCCTTGTAGTCGCACCCCCATCAGTGGCCACTGATCCCCTCTGCTCACTGCTGGTGGGGAGACAACTGGTGAGCAGGAATCTAGCCAGCAGCAAGATCTGCCAGTACCGATGTGGGGGACAGAGGTGCTGCATGGGGGTCCACAAAGGGTTGTATGCCCCACAAACACTTTGGGAGGGGCAAGGGGCCAGCAGCTGGCAGGCAGATCTTATGGATGGTTTGCCCAATGGCCCTCAGCCTGTGATTTGGGGGGTCTTGTGTGACTAGCAGGATGTCTGGCATGGCAGCAAGGATCGGGCTCCCCACACTCACAGCAGTGGGAAGCAGAATGACCTAGGCCTAGAGACTGGACCACGCTGCTCTGCTCTCTGGCTACCAGCTTTGTTGCTCATGGGCAGGTAGAGAAGCTTGGGAGAAAGAGTGGAACCCCCCCCCCACTCACTGTTGGTAGGAAGCAGAGCGACAGTTTGTGTGAATGCAATGGTCTGACTTTTGCTGCTGGTGCCAGGACCCCTGCTGATCCCTTGGGCCATATGACTCAGGGGAGGGGGGCTGGGGAAAAGGTGGGTCTGGGATGCGGGACTGGGATGGGAAGAAGTGGGGCCCTGCCCTGGGGAGGAGTCACAGGGGGATCACCTGACTGGTATCCCCCTTCTGTCCCTCCCCAATCACCACTGACAGGAGAGATAAAAAATAGGGGCCAATTTGCAAGTCTCTAAGAAGAGTTGGGACACTTCCAGGAGATCTTAAATAAGGAACAGTCCCTTTGAAAAGTAGTTGCCTAGGAATTAACTGCTGCATAGAGCCCAGCATGGGAATAACTGGGAGCCATCGATTCCTGCCCCTGAAGTGCTGCTGCTGGCACAATGGGCTAAGCAGTAGAGACAGGCTATGTGGGCCACTGCAGTTTGCCTGGCCAGTGGGCCTGGCTGGGCCAGGTGCCCCTCTCTTAGATTGCATCTACAGTCTTGGGAGAGAGTCACAGCTAGGGACCCCCTTGACTTTCCCAGCGCTGGCCCTGACTGAGCTACTCAACCTTTGAGCATCATTCTTCCTTAGGAACCTTTGAGCTAGTTAACAACACAGTGAAAAGAAGGGGCCTGCATTTTGCGTTTGAACTTTCAGCAAGGCCTAGAGAAAGTTCTTCCCAAGCAGATCCTGAAGAAACAAATGGATCTTGGCAAGGCACCAGGGATGGGATGGGATGGGGCTGCACTATTCTAACCCTAAACCTAGCAAGGCACTGGGGTTAGGGTTAGCGAGTGAGGGGTGGAATAAGGAAAAATGTGCGTTGTGAGCTGGCTGTGCAGAGCTCTCTTTCTCTTCCCTATAAAATGCCCTTTTTCTGAGCACTGCCCTTGGGCTCTGAGTCTCCTGCAACCTAGAAATGCCTGGGCCAATCTCAGACCTCCCCACCTCTCCTGCTGTGTCCTTTCCCCATCCTTACAGCAGCAAAGGACACTGAAAGGGGATAGGGAAGGGAGGGATGGGGAATTACTAGGGTGACCATATTTCCTACGCTGAATACAGGACATCTGGCAAAATTACTCATATCCTTTTGCCCCCTCTTGTCCTACCCCCAGGCACAGTACTGTACAGGGGGGTTGCATGATCCAGTGGAAGGGCCTGGCCTGTCACTGTTTCCTGACAGATGGAATTAGGATTTGAACTGGCTCCAGCTCAGCCTCACTTCTGAGTCTCGAATCAGTCTGTGGAACTCCTTGCCAGAGGATGTTGTGAAGGACAAGACTATAATAAGATTCAAAGAATGAGCCAGATGAATTCATCAAGGATAGGTCCATCAATGGCTATTAGCCAGGAGGGGCAAGGAAGGTGTCCCTAGCCACTGTTTGTCAGAAGCTGGAAATGGGTGTCAGGCAGGGATGGCCCGTGCCTATAGGCAAACTCGGCAGCCACCTAGGGCGCCAAATTCTCATGGATTGAGAACTGGTTAAAAGACAGGAAACAAAGGCTAGGAATAAATGGTAAATTTTCAGAACAGAGAGAGGTAACTAGTGGTGTCCCTCAAGGGCCAGTCCTGGGACCAATCCTATTTAACTTATTCATAAATGATCTGGAGAAAGGGGTAAGCAGAGAGGTGGTGAAGTTTGTGAATGATACTAAACTGTTTAAGACAGTCAAGACAGAAACAGACTGTGAAGAACTTCATAAAGATCTCACCAAACTGAGTGATTGGGCAACAAAATGGCAAATGTATCAGAGGGGTACCCGTGTTAGTCTAAATCTGCAAAAGTGATGAGGAGTCCTGTGGCACTTTACAGACTAACCGAAGTGTTGGAGCATAAGCTTTCGTGGGCAAAGACCCACTTCGTCAGATGCATGTCAAAGTGGGTCTTTGTCAAAGTGGGTCTTTGCCCACGAAAGCTTATGCTCCAACACTTCGGTTAAAATGGCAAATTAAATTTAATGTGGATAAGTGTAAAGTAATGCACATCGGGAAAAATAACCCCAACTATACGTACAGTATGATGGGGGCTAATTTGGCTATGACAGATCAGGAAACAGATCTTGGAGTTATTGTGGATAGTTCTCTGAAAACTTCCACACATTGTGCAGCAGCGGTCAAAAAGGCAAATAGGATGCTAGGAATTATTAAGAAAGGGATAGAAAATAAATCACAGAATATCTTACTGCCCCTGTATAAAACTATGGTACGCCCACATCTTGAATACTGTATACAGATGTGGTCTCCTCACCTCAAAAACGATATTTTGGCCTTGGAAAGGGTTCAGAAAAGGGCAACTAAAATGAT